ATGAAGGATCTGATAGAAAGACTGAAAATAAGAAACCATATTCTGGTTTTAAAAAATGATATGATGTTTATATGTTTGAGAGGAGCTATTACAGTTTCAGAGTCTCTATCATCCAGAAGTATCAGGCATAGAAATGCACAGGCGTGCCTGTAGAAGAGAGGAAAGTGAGAAACAGAAAGCCTTTTGCTATGAACCTTTTGCTTTCCTTAGCCACACAACTCTTACAAGAAATTATGAAGCCAAGACATGTGACAAACATGGTTTTAATTACTGATGCCAGTAACTGTGCCAGGAAATGGTGCTAGTTCTGGAAGCAATAAAAAACCAGCAGGCTCTCCTGCTCAAAATTATCTTTAAAGAGGATTTGTCTCCTTTTTCCATGCTTTCAGAACTCTGCCTGACATCACCTGGGCCTCCACACACAGTCTGGCTAAAAGGACACTTTCTGACTTCCAAGAAAAACAAATGGAAATGCAAAAAGCTTGCATCTGGCCTGTTACCTCATCGTCAGCCACCTGGGCTGCTTGAGAGTCGCCATGGCATTCCCAGTTCCTTTTTGCTTGCTACATAATAAATTAAAAAGACTGTTGAGAAAAGAGACATTCACAGAAAGCAGACAACACTTAGAGCTCAAAGAGTTAGGAGGACTGATATGCATTATTTCTACATGAACTGTATGTTCAGTAAAAGCTCCCTGTGAAGCCAAGATGCACGTGATCTATCCATTATTTTTCCTCACCAAAAAATACTTCTTTTCCACAGCCCTGGTTCTGAATTATGGACAGTTAGGCTTTACTCCTTCCTTCTGCCATAATTACCAGTAGTCAAAGATACACAGTGCAGTCTGTCCCCCTTCACTCTTGCTGGATGAAGGATTTTACAGTGCTTAATATGCATGTGGGAAGGCTGTCATCCTCTGTGTTAAGAAACAGACAAATTCAGCCACAAATTCTGTTCAGGAAAGCTAGTAGAAGCTTAATTCTAATGACAATGTTCTTTTAATCTAGTCATTGATGATCCCTAAATCGTACTGTGCAACGTTTTTACAAAAGCTTGAGAGAACAAAACATTCAAAAAATTGCATGTGGCATCCTGACTTATTTAGATCAGATGCCTATACCATTTCTGCTTCTGTGACTTGTATAGTAGCCACTTGTCAACCACCAATCTGCACATTATCTAGCTTTGACTGATGTTTTAATAGCTGCTGTGGATTTTTTCAGGAGATGAAAGAATAATTTTAAAAGGAAAAAAGGAAGCTACAAATATGTGGCTTTTTTGCAGATGCTAACTTCCGAGCAAACTTAATTGATGAGTCTGCCCATTGCATTTCCATAGCATACTGCCAGAAGTGGTTTTACAGCTGTTTCTGCTACATGCATAGTGAAAAGAAGAATTTAAGCAAATCCTTTAGTACTTTTAAATAAAAATATCTATCTATGTGGGGTCTAGAACGGGAACAAGCTTCTAATACATTTGTTCTATGTGATCACAGTGAAGGCAAATTCCACAACATGCAACAATTAATTATGTTCAAGGAAGTGCATGATTCTATGGGTATAATGTGAGTTCTTTATAGAAAGCCACAATTCACAGAACTTGAATATTGTATAAATCTGAAAACTTCTAAACACTCCAACTATCTTAGTATTTACAGTGCTGCTTTTGTTATAAACTGAATGTCCTTCAAAATATATACTGAATGCACTAACAAAATGTAAAATTCCAACTGCTATCTCTTTTTTCCAAGGACAAACCACTGGCTGTTTTGAGTTTTTACAGGGATCTGTACGTGAATTCTCATACCTTACATGTGGATTAGAAACTAATCACAAGCAGAACTGTTTTGTCCTGTTCTAAGATACTGTCCACTGGTGCAAAGGTTGCTTGTTGATTTTATAAATAGATCAGTGGCTTTTCATGTGTCCTGTTCACGTCTTTAAGTTTGTGAACTTGACGTAATAGTCACTTAGTTCTCATGGTCGAAAGTACTAATAGAGAGGAGACTTAGGCTAGGGATGGAAAGAGAGATTTATTTAAATATACTTAATAGTTCAGGCTTTGGTACGACATTTATTTTCTCACATACTGTTTTATATTTACTTGTATAGAAGTTTATCAGAATGCCTAAGTGTGGTTTGGTGAAAATAATCTGCTATTGTAATCTTCTGCTGAATGGAGAGACGGGCTGTCGTTCCTCAGACTAGAATAGCATTCTCCAAGTTGAAATCACATAGAGGGGAAAATAATCTTTTACGTGACATATTGGTGGGTTTTCATTCTATTTTTTGCATAACATCTACTAAAGAAATAAAATATTTGGTTTTGTAAAAGGTTAAAAAAGGTGTTGCGAATACCATGATTCAAACATGCATTTTAAGACCAAAGTAACAGTAATCGATCAAAGAGACAGATAGAGTGTCTGATGTTAAAATCTTTCCAACCTCAGAGTTACAAAAATAGTACCAGAAATGTATCACATCTACGTATACCACATCTGCAATGTACATAATATGTTTACATCACCTAAAAGATCAAAGTTGAATGATGTAGAACTGAAGGTGGTGCAGTCCAGCTGCACAGTAACATCTATTTCTAAGATCAAGTCAACCACAGCTTTCCTCAGTGTTTCCACTGACCCTCTTAAGCCAATCACTGTAATACAACAGCAGAGGCAAGCTCTTATGAAACACTTTGCAGCTCTAGATTTTTCTGGCTTCCTCTCTCCTACATATAAGAAGGTGTGCAGTAGTTAGGCCAGGTATCTGTTTCTAGCACTGATGGGATCTGAAATGAGGTCTATCTGTATTTGCACACAAAACCCAAGACTGTTGGGTTTGAGCTAAACTTTAGGAGGAGCTGCAGCTCTAGACTCAAGAGGACGGCTGGTAATGGAGACCATGAGCGTCACAAGCGGCTCTACTATGTGCTACACATCCCCTTTTTAGCATCAAATGCTTTCAGACTGCATGTAAATTATGGCTCCAGCACCATTTCTAAGAGGGACCAGAAAGCCATTCTGCCCTTTTGTTACTGCTTTTAAGTGCAGTACTTTTTCTTTATGTAGATCAAGTACCGCTTCTTGGAAATATGATTCCTAGTCCTAGAGGAAGAAAGTCAGCAAACTCGGATCTTTTTATTTATTTATTTTTATTTCTTTAAGAGATGGAAAAGATGCACTTTTTGCTCAGTGGCTGGGCTATTTAGCGCTCTGAAATCCACAGATTTTGATACCCTCTCTATTTATGTAAACAGGTTCTTGTTCTGTGTTCCAAAAGGAAATTCAAATGTGGTTGAGCTGAACAGTCCAATTCCTAGTTCACCAAAAGATCTCTGAGTTCTGTGGATTTGCTATGGTCCTGATATTCACCTTGTTCTTCCTCAGGAAAGCGGCAGCTGCAGGCATCATCTTCCTGAATTGACTGTTCAGGTGTGGTGTGCACTGAAGAAAAAGATCAAATGCTCACTTTCTGTTGTATTTATTCAGCCATCTTATTTCACCCTTCCTCAGTCACAAGCACAGGAAGTCAGCAAGAAAAATTCTTCCAAATGATTCAATAATCTGAAATTATTCCTCTATGGCATGTACATCCGATAAAACTATTTTATCATACTTTGTCTTCTCTAATGCAACAGGGGCTGTAATTGCTCTGTTTGCCATAAGAATGAAAGGAAGACGAATATGGAGCTGTTAGATTTTTGGAGTAATGCTATTGTCTCCTGTATTCAGAATTACACTAGAAGATCAAGCCCTTATCTCTAGGAAAGGGGAGGGGAGAGGAGAGGAGAAGAGGGAGAGAGAAAAACCCAAACAGACAAAAATCCCAACTATAAACTATGTTGGATGCAATTCCATCTCATCTCTATGCTGAACTCTTGAGCTTCCCTGGGGCTTATTAGCTCTCGGAAGGCAGCGCTGGATTCAGGCTGACTCTGTATCTGTGTAGTAGTACATCCTGACTGGTATCCCCTCTTCTACTGCAGCCAGAGTTCAAAGATGCTCACTCCAGGCCATGCATACTGTTCCTGAGCAGACGGAACTGGAAAGCGCTATTGCCACGCACGCCAAGGATGGTACTTGGAAGTAATAAACTGAACTGACCCTCAACCAGATCAGCAAGGCTCAGCTGAGCTTTTTCACCTCCCGTGAATACTTCACTTCCGTGGATACACGTGCAGTTAACCTGCGATGTTGATAAAACGCCTACAGCTAATTAAGTGCTTTCTGCAACAGAAATTCCCAAACCGTTTTCCTTTCAGTTGTTGTTTCTGACTTACAAGGCCAAAACCTGAAGCTGTCTGGAATTATCTTTGAAAGATATTTAAAAACCTGGATTCCTGATTTCTGTCTAGTTTCAAAAAGAAAAATTGAATTCAAGAGTGTATATATCTTACTTTTCTTGAAGACAGCATGTAGCTTCTTTTTCTGCCAGATACCAAAGCATACGCACGAAGGTAGCAGAAACACTATGCACAACAGCCCAGCTACAGTAAGAGAAATTCTGATAATGTCCATCTGGAGGTCTTCCCCTAGGGAGCAAACAACATTCTCTAATAAGCGTTACAAAGCAAAATTCTACTGCCCTTGAATTAGCTGACAACTTTGTCTCCACTTCTGCTTCTGGAGGAGTCTGCAACACTGGAAATGGATAGAAGAAAGGACTCTTGCTTTAAATGGTGAGTGAGCGAGCTGTAGTATGTTTCAAAGTAGGTCATAATTCTTTAGTTCCATAAGCAATCTTATACTATGACTCACCTGGCACAGTGATAGAAAATGGAATTGCAGGAGACGTGGTAGGTAGAGTAGTGACTAAAGTGGGATTATCTGAAGCGTGTTTGCAAATGACGTCTTTTGTTGCAGTTCCAGGCTCCAGGACCTGGTTTGCAGAGCACCTGAAAGACATTTAAAGCAAAAAAGAAATTAAAAAAAAACCAAAAACAAACCATGGAAAAAAAACCCCAGTCAAGTATAATAGCTGTAGCATTTATTTTTAGATTACTTACTTTGTCCACTTTTTACAGGAGCCATTGGGCTGATCATTAAAAGTTCCATAGTGGCAAGTTCGGCAACCTTCAACAGAGAAGGACAGGTAAATTAGTACAAGATGAGCATTTAAAACAACATGTGAAATTATTTTTGCCTGCTTGTACAATGACTACGATCCACATTCACAGAATTACTATCTCATAAGCTGTTCTGACCGTGCAAGGCAATTCTTTCCCTGTGAGCTAGGGACCAGTACAGCACTCGGCCACGCCACCTGTTTATTTGGCAAAAGATGCTGCAGATCACCTCTAGCTCCAGAGTTCCCAGCTCAGTTTCCCATGTGCTGGCAACAGAAGAGCTGTCATGCAAAGTGACCTAACTGGCGCAGGCTTTGAGCTGCAGCAGGGCTCAGAGTTTGGTGGGTTTGTCTTGTGAGGTCCTTGCTCTAGTTGTCTCCGCGCTGCATGAGAGGCAGCGGCACGTCCGTCTGGTGCGGCGAGTGCAGGAGGTTTAAGCTGGCGGGGAAAGGCGACCTTACCACTCCCGGTGTTCTCCTGGCCCACGCCACAGCTTGGGTCGCAGCGGGAGCAGCCGTCGCCGCTGCAGCGGTACCCCTCCTTGCACGTGCATTCAGCATCACTTTTTGAGGAGCACTCTTTTAAGTACCTGAATCTCCCTGGAAAGTGGAGACAGTCCTGGATTACACACGCGCTCGGGGAAGCCCGGGCTGGGGGCCCGGGCCTTGCAGAAACGAGGCCGG